TTTTGTGTGAGTTCAGGTTAACACATGACCAACACGTAATAGAAATTCAATACATTCATTAATGACTCACAGTGTACAAGTGTTTTGTTACGAGAAAGTATCAGTGCATAAGCCAGTTCATAGGTTACAGAAGGAACAGTTTCAACAATAAATTATATAGACTTATTATTAACAAACATACGCAACGTTGCACACGCTGTATCAACGAAATATTAATCAGACAAACCGATAGTTATGCAGGCTGACAACGTAATGTAGTAATTCATATTACGTCATTTAAAGGTTGACATCAGTGTAATTTCGTGAGCATGTATTTGTTATTCCCCCAAATATATCAACGCAATTTAAGTCGAATCTGTCTTCCTTTGGAAGCAACTAATCATCAAATACCATATTTGTTGACAGGTACGATTAAGATAGAGGGCGCAACTAATGTGAATTGGTATATCGCAAATATCAACCAAACCACGTTTATACGTGTCAATTATGACATCGAAAACTGGAGGAAACTGATTAAACAGCTGCTGAACGACCACGAGGTGGGGTTGTTAACAATTGATTAATTCGCGATTTGTAATCGACACTAACATATTTAGTATATATTTAACCATGATACCACCATCACTAATTACGTTCGCAGATTTTTCCAGTTAGGAATCGAGTACACCTCATCGACGATGCCTTCTATCTCGGTGAGGCATTGTACCTAGATCACGTGATTGCCTTGGAAGCAATGGAATATCTTGACAAGGAGTCGGAATACAGTCCCTGGCAGGCATTTGTTGCTGATCAGATGTTTACAAAGTATATGATCTGGAGAACGTCCGCATACGGATTATTTGAGGTGAGGTTAAGATGTAAAATTATAAGTAAAGATGTAAGATTGTATAATACCATGTCATTTTACCTCTGGTACTTACCTGTAGTGAATTTCTTGCAGAAATATATCCGCCATTTGATTACACCAAACTACAACAATTTCGGATGGGCTTTCGACAATTTTACAAAGGAAATTGACTAGTAAGTATGATCAGATCAGACACAGACATCCATATACAGTTTATCTGAGTGTGTATAAACTAGACTAGTCACACGATTGTTCACTTGTACGTTACAGCTATCACATGAGCGAAACCCTACGGACAGCATGTTCTTACAGTCACGCCGACTGTATAAATGAAGCTACTGCGCAGTACGGAGATTGGATGGAAAACCCCGATGATAACAAGTAAGCTGCTGTGTATATAATACTGAGATGTTTTAATGGGTGTGGTTTTCATGTAAATGGTATTACATTGTGATTATTTATACGTAATAAATATATGCAACAATACTTTTGTTCGACAAGTCCTTGTATATTTTTGAGCTATTTATTATGTTACCGTTGAGAATTCTGGCGTTTCCCAATTATCGAAACGCTTGCTTAAGAACTTATAAAGCCCTGCTAACTTTATTTGTATGCTCGCTTCACAGGATCGAAGATAGTATGAGAAATACCGTCTATTGCACATCAATACGATATGGCGGTGACGCGGAATGGTCATTTGCATACAAGAGACAGATGAATGACACCGACGAACAAAGTCGTCTCCAATCTGCACTGGCCTGCAGCAGGCAACCATGGACACTAAATATGTAAATATGACAAACATAATATAAATTTGAAATGATCACGATATCAACACGTAAATAAACACGACCGCTTTTGACTTCCAGGTACATGGAGAAAGCCATGGATGATGAATCACTGAGTGTCACCTCTACCATAGAAAATGTTCGAGACAATTCGGGACTAGGTTTTGATTTAGCATGGGACTTCACCATGAACAATTTTGATTTCCTGCATGAGAAGTAAGTTTTATTGTATCATCAACACATCGAATCACTAAATTGAAAAAGTGATAGGTAGAGATTGGAATGAGAAGAAAGTGGCAGACATGACAATGAATTCAAAAGAGTTGTTAAACGAAGCGAAAAATATACCCAACCTAATTCTGATATTCTAGAGATGTCGTCCAATGATTAATGTACTACCACTGTCAGTTACCAATACGGTTAAAATGACCAGGGTAGTGCATTACAGTAACTTGTATCCAAAGTCAATACAAACTGTATGTGTAGCATATAAGTAACGATCAACACTTAATTATTGGTTTTGTTCTAGGAATTCAGATGAAGCCTATGACCTTGTATGGTCATTTGCAAGTAAAATGAACACACAGAATGATCTTAAAAAGGTGCGTTGATTGTTGTGGATAATTATCATAATTAGCCGGCTTAAATTAGACGAGTTAAACTTTAATGTTTTTACGGATTGTTTTATTTGAAATGCTTCAATTAATTGCTAGAAACCTGTGTAATCGTATATCCTAGAAAACAGGTCATTGTTCAACAGTGTTCAGATTACGCAACACTGAGTACATAAGGTGTACATATGATGATGAAAAAAGATAAGTAATTATTGATGTCAATGCCTTTATGTTATCTATAGAAGCAAATGAACAAAAAGTTGTAATAACTTGAAAACATTCTGCAACATTAGTTATATTCCACGATACAGTGTATCATATTCATTGTTTCGTCAGTTTAATATCATTTTGTTCAATTGCACTAAGATTGGCAGTTTAATGTATTGAATGCGCACTTACAATGACATGTGTAATTCGTTTTTTTTTTTATTTTACGAACAACATGCAGAATATAATTCTGAACACAATGCCTAGTATAGTCGTGAGTTACGCTCGCTCTCGATTATAACATTCGTAATTTCGACCATGTTACGACCATGAAATACTTCCACATGTTGAGATTCGAACTGCGCATGCCCACTGTGGACTCGTGCTCAGTTGTGCCATTTTGAGCCGACTTTCCAGGCGACTACTGTGACGTACTGAAACACGCGTCTTTGGCTGTACAGAGGCGAGGGGTTTTTCCGTGGTCGTGAGTTTGAATCCAGCCTGTAAATATATTCATAATGTAGTTTTATTTTGTGCATTTCTCAGCTCAATGCATTTGGTGCGAAATATTACGATATGCCGGGCGAGACCGCCAACGACTTCTACAAGGCTGTACAAAGAGTGGAGACCAACATTATATGGGCAGATCGGAATATGATGCAAATCAAGTTATTCCTACAAGCAGCCATTCAGAAAATCTCAGCAATGAACGAATAAACCAGCTTGTGAATTAGTATCTTTCAGAAAAATAATAACATAGATAACATAGATAATATTAAGTTGTCATTCTTTTATTTTTATATCATTATTCAATTAATCCCTTGCAGAGATGTTGCAAAATGGCTTGTATTCTAATGGATTGCATATGCTGTACGGGCAATGCAGTTCTTTGATTCGTGGTTTTCGTAATTATGTACTTTGTCTCAGGTTACTTATCCTAGTGTGGAATTCATTTGTTACCAGTTGATAGTTATATATTTAGATATAAAATTTTACTGACAGCAGTATAGGATGGTAGAACAACAATTCTGGTTCATTGTTTTATAGGCATTACTTCACGCTATTACTAATCTGACTCTGAGCCCGCTATAATAATAATCTGAATGTGTAACCTGTAAGCGGTGGAGACTTGATAACTGCAACTACTAAGAGTTTAACCTTAAAAAGAGAGTTGCCTGGTAAATTGATACATCCACGATTATAAGTTATAGTAGAACCGTACGTCTATTGATATCAAATGCAGCCGTGTTATCAGATGGCAACTGATTGAGGTCAATGCACGAACATACAGAGTAATATCCAGTGAGTTCCCACGTGCACGGATCAGTTAAATTATTTTACGTTAAGAAATCGTTGTTAATTTCATTCCTATTTTTAGCGTATTTTTGCGTACCGATTGTAAACTTTATATGCGTTACTACACTTTCGATTTCTACTTGCTCAAGCAACCACTGCATGTATATTATTTTTTTGACATTTCGCGTTATTATAATTGAAATAACAAACATATTATAGCGCGTGTCCTCATCCAATATGGCACTGTGGTCCTGAGAGTCATTTAAATATAATGGCTCTTACGAATGCTGTTCTTTAAATAATGGAATCGACTATGTCTTGTATATTGTCGCGCACATCCCCATTCTTGCCTGGTGACGAACAGTGTTTCGTTCTTTATATTCCCTAAATGCTTATTTAGGCATCTTCTTAACAACTTTTTCAGAGACTTTTCATACGTTCTTGTAAACATTTGATTGTAAGCCACTACCCAATTACATATACGTGTCATTCGCGTTGTGCGACGTTCAATGAAGTCAGTCAGAGGGCAGTTGTCATAATTTCTCTCCTCTGTCATCGATGTATAAATATATAATTCTTGAGACCAATACGTGAGAATTGACTTATCACCGTCATCAATGAAGTTTTGAATAAATCTGACTTTTTTAAGTTTGTTTTTATTCGGTCAATAATTGCATAATTAAGATTGTTTTGGGCAAAGAACAGAAATCGTCACCAATGTGTGTGAATGGAAAAAGGTCTATTATAGAAGACATGACTGTTTATTTACCAGAAACTTCATTTACTCGCACATCGTTCCAGCTATGTCGAGTCGAACACTATGAATTAGATATGTTTTTTTTTGTCTTTTTTTAACTCTGTGCTAGTCTTGGTTATATTTAAATAGACATGACATCTATGTTTACGTAAAATATCAATGTCTTTAAAAGTGCATCGAATGTGATAAATATAGTCTAGTTCCATGTCTAATAGTCTTTGCATGTACTATAAATACAGTTTAGATCTACTCATAGTGCGTACTATGGACCCATTATACTGTACGTGTGACATGACAACTTGTTGTGATTGCCTCTGTCGTATAGCGGGTTACAGAGCGCGGGAAACATCGCTAGCCACACCTATTAGCCTCGGTTTGAAAGTGTTGACCAATTTCGGTGTGTGTTTTTACATCTTGTAATTTCACAAACTAGCATGTATACAGACAGTTTTGTTTTTTTTCGTATTTTCACAAGTATTGCGTTTCATGACGTTTGATATACCTAGGATAAACATATGCTGTATTAACGTTTTGAACTTGAATGAGACCGTGTTCACCCCAACACGGCGACAAATTCGTACGGTGCGGCAACGTCATAGACATATATTACCAGTTTACCGACAAGTGATTTATTACATATGTTTATTTTTGTGGCAGTATGATATAGGATTACTTGATTTTGGAATCAATTCATTCACAACAAATAACCTTACTTGCGCATGACTGTGTGCTGAGAGTAAATTGCTGTATTTGAAATATATTTTATATTTGTGAATCATTTTGAATGTTCACAATTTTGGAATATCTACTTTAAAGCATGAATTCGCCTGAGACTTTTGTTGTATAACCACTCCGGAGTAAAATTAAGACGTTTGACGTTGGTTCTTTGCTGAAAATGAATGAAATATCGAGTCGGAAAAGTAATGTTGTTCAGTTTCATGTTCACGAAAGTTACTGCAAATAACCAATGTCAACAAGGGTGCATAAAGAAGATTTGGAGTTGAACTGTGCCGATGATGTAAAATAAAAAACAGAACATTAACAACTAGCGCCGGGGTCAAAATATATAGCTTGTTGCCGCATTTAAAACAGCATAAACCTGATAGTATCGTTGTTATTAATAAGACACGATTATATGTCCGCATGTTTGTATTTAAAGTCTCATTGTTTAATATAGGTCGATTAAGGTCAATTAAACTGCCCTTTCCGAGATAGTAAGTTGTCTAAGCCAGCAAGTTTGCTCCCGTGAAAAGGCAACATGCAGTATCAACCGATTCATACCGATGTTTGTGTCTTGTTTGTTTCGGCGCTCATGTATATTTTTATTTATCAAGAATGCTTACAAATTTAAGCAAATTAATATGATACTTTTCCATAGATAACTTCCAACGGTTCACAGTTGTAAAGTTTATTGTGAAATATCCTTGTTGATATGATACAAAGATTCAGCGACATCGTTTGATATTTATTTGGAAACGCCTAGAAAAAACACAGAGTTTAGCGCATGATGATGTGTTTATCACGGCGTCAAGCTAAACATACAGTCATGATACAATGACACCAACTCATAAAAGTGTCTGAAAATTTATTCCGAGTTTGAACAGTTTGACACGATAGGTATTTGGTAGCAGGTTTACAATCAGTTGCTAGTGCGCCACCTATAGTTAATATAAAAGAATCGCGGATTCGGAAATGACTTGTGACTATGACTATGACGTTTCGTTGTTTTATCCTACAGAATATGAATACATTATACACCAAAATCAGATAGTAAAATAAGATAATTGCCTCACTATGGTTGACAAATTTGCAAGAATTGGACGTATTTACGAGCCATTTTCGAGACACGTATTTAATCAGAGCTCACACCACTAATTGAAACTCCATAGACGACAATGTTAACATATGACGAGATTCCTGTATGAAAATGATAAACAAAGTTGAAAACATGGCTCAAAAATAGGAAATCAACATGCCAGTAATCAACCACAACTAACATGTTGGCCAGCTCAAACTCTTGCAAATATCAAACAAGACACACATGCTGTATTTTAATTGCACCTAGCGAAATCACTGGAAAAACACCAAGATTAGAACACGCAGAATAAACCCAAAGATACGCAGCCGCTAAGTAGTAAACAAAAGACCGCATGTTAGTCTCACCTTTTACCCAGGTGATTACGCCCTCAAACAGGGAGCACCTGAGAAAAAAAAAATATTTAAAAAAATTGATTGGTTCTTGCAAGGCATTTAAATTTAAACCACGTGATACTCGTGATTTTCAGGAAGGTCCAAGGCCCAATTCTGTGTCCATTTGCGCCACCTTGCTTTAATATTTACGTATACATTTAAGTAGTATTAGATTTTCAGATTTACATTTCTTCATTAATTATGTCTTCTACTGATGCATACGCATATAAGAATAAACTCGTGTTTGATGTAAGGGTTAAGTGATATAAATTCTGGATAAATATCATAATGATTGTGATCTGGACGTTTTAGAACGGTATTTAGTTAATGTTATTTATCCTTAATCAAGTTAAATGGACTAAATGGCTACTGTTTTATCGACAGGCACGTTGTATCAATAAAATAACTCATGAATGTTCCACTGTTTAGTGTGGCACATTTGCTGATGGCGAGATTACGGTCAACTGTACACATAGAGTGACAAATGAGACGTAGCCTTATTTTTATGACATGTTTCATCACACTAAAATACTCACGGGTCAAAGTTCAAATTTGAAAATTATATTTTATAGGGATTTTAAGGCAATAAGTTACTTATAAGAAGACACTTCAGTGCGCCCAGCTCCTCGCCGTCATTTCGCTGACATCAACGACGACGGCAGCAGCCACTCTGTCTGGCTTTCAAATAATTTCTATCCCAAACTTTGTCGCGGATTATCTCGAGAGAGAGAGAGTATTTTTCAGGAAGATGTCGAATCTGAATCTCAGTGATGAGAAACCACCGAGTGATGGTTGGGTCGTTAAGAAGACCACTATTTACATTCTGGTTGCAGTTGCCCTTATAATTCTCACTGGTGCTGTGTTGCTGGCGTATTTTGTTCCCGATAGAGAGTGTGAAGTGACCCAAATTGAGTTACCAGATGACCCAGAAACGATCAAGATGCCAACACCTGTTGACATCCCAACAACTGACCCAGTACCAGAAGCCAGGTTACCGGCTACTGTGATTCCATATCACTATGATGTTAAACTAAAGGTCTATCTTGATGAACAATTAGACGGTGACAAATATCTCGATATTGACGGTGAGACTGATATTTACGCGATCTGTGAAGAAGCAACAGACGAAATCACTGTGCATATACGAACGATGACTGTCCACAGCTGTGAAATTTCTCAAACAGACAATGACCAGCAGATTCCTGTCTCAACCACAGAAGCAGTCTCCGAAAATGAGTTTTACGTCATCAAGCTATCACAGAAATTGGAAGTCGGACGGGAGTATAGAATACGTTTCACTCATACGGGTACTTTAAATCAGACAGATTACTACGGATTCTACCACGCCAAATATACAGAGAACGGAGAAGAGAAGTAAGTAGATTTTAATTTATGAATATGCAAATCAGCTAAATTTGTAGGAAGTAAGCAACAAATTTTTCCTTACGAATTTGGAGCTACATTACTGTCATGTTTGCCATACTGTCCGTGTGACCTCGGTACTCGTTTAGCGTACCCCATAATTCTTATCAGAACGCAATCGGACAGAATCTTCCTGTCACATCTCCTTTTAAATCTAGGCCGGTCATGTGACATGCTCATTTCATATTTATTACCCATATATCTGCCAACTTGGTGTAGTTTGTTATATGACTCAGCAGAGTTCAATAATCTCATAAAACAAGTATAACGTAAGTTTAAAAGTCTTACACTTTAAAGATGCTTGTCACAGATGTTATATTGAGATATAAACTCGAAATTTAACACACTGATATCATACCAACGGATAACAACGAATTTTACAATTCAATAAAAAACAACGATGGTCAATTGCTCTTAAGATGAGTGTAGTGTAGAGTCAATACAATTCAAACTTACATATAATGGGTGGCAAAAGTAACTATGAATAATGTACTAATGTACATGGAATACATACTTCAAAGGGCCGCAAGCCCAGAAGACACGACAAAATGCTTATTCAAGCAGGTCGTGTGCCTATCTAGTATTTTTACCTAAAGCACGATGAATGGTCCGAACACGATGTAACACGTGACACCTGTCCACGAATGAAGCGGGTTAAGGTCTATTCAGTTCAGTTGAGTAACACATGGTTTCTATACAATTGATGTTAAAATCCTAGACTTGACCTTGCTCTTAAGTATACGGGTAATAAACAATCATATACAATACCACGTAAATATTTCAGAATATTTGCGGCAACTCAATTTGAATCACGCCGTGCACGTTCTGCCTTCCCATGCTTCGATGAACCAGCACTGAAGGCAACGTTCACCACTACTCTGATTTATCGACCGGGTCGTATTGCATTGGCCAACACAGAGGTTGTCAGGAATGGTACTTATTTAGAAGGATGGATTGAGACTGAATATAACAAGACAGTTCTGATGTCTAGTTATTTGAATGCATATACCATAGGTGACTGGGAATGTATCTATAATACATCAAGAAACAACATATTTGTAAGCATCAATACTTAGTTTATCGAAAAAATATGACGCATCAATGTTTAAAATTAAAAAAAAAACACTTCGAATTACGGTGTGACTGTATATGGGATTTGTGATTGTAGTTATCGGAGACATTGGTGAGATGTATTTGATCCATTGTGTACCATTAAATAGCAATATTATTACATTTTTATACAGTTTGGGGTTTGCTCTCAGCCATCGCTCATTGAAGACACTGAGTATGCTCTGTATACCGGTATGGACCAAATGTCAATGTTCGAAGACTTATGGAACATGCCGTTCCATATGACAAAGACGGGTGTGTATAGTGCTTGTGTTTACATCGCGCAAACTATGATTTTTGAATGCTGCAATGAGAATGACGAATGTTGTCCAATAACGTTTTCATCACATTTCAGACATGCCGGCGTTGCCAGTGTTTTCACCAGGCGCTATGGAGAATTGGGGTTTGATTCTGTACCGTGAGAAGTACATCATTTACAACCCACGTGACTACACGCCTAGTAGAAAGCAGGGCGTAGCGGGCGTAATTGCACATGAATTGGCACATATGGTAAATCACAATCCTTCAATACCGGTGTTGAGGGACTGTGGGTAAATGTATAGACGTTGATGTTCGTAAAATGTATTAACTATTTTGACGCAATGTGTAAATAATGATGTACAATTATGATTACAGTGGTATGGAAACGCCGTTACAATGGAATGGTGGAACGATCTATGGCTTAATGAAGGATTTGCTACTTATTTCGAAAACTATGGATTAGATTACTCAGTATCTGGCTTTTATACAGTAAGTTTTGTTTAGTATAACTTAAGGAATTTGTCGACTTCAAAAATGTGAACGAGATTTAATCCCAGTGATATTATCCCGCACACACTGGCTAACAATCAGTAGTGAACTGTTTTCTAATTATATAAGCATACTCTTGGTCTATGCATATAGATCGTATTACGGTAAACAGAATGCAATGCTTTCATCTTCCCTAGTTTGACCAACTGTTTCTGAAGGATGTAACCTACCGGGCAATGAGAGTTGATCAAACCGGCACCTCAACACCTGTGAGTGCGGAGAGAACCGTTGGTAGAATGATATATGAAAAGGTACTATTCTAATAGTAATAAAGATTCAAGTATCCTAGACATCAATTATTTTATTATCAGAAGTAACTATTATCATCTAAATCAAGGACACATATTTCGTTGAATAATTCTATGTCCTTCTGTCTAGGGTGGCTCTTTAATTAATATGATGGCTGACTTCCTGACTCAAGATTTGCTGTTTGATGGTTTACGTAATTATTTACATAGACATGAATGGAACAACACAATCACAGATGATCTATGGATGGCGTTAACTGAAGTATGTTGAATTTCCATGTGTACAGAAAAGTTGTGATTGTGAAGGAAATATTCATGTTATTGTTTCATTGTGTGCAACTTTAAATGTAGTACTGGAGTACCAATATATACCGTAAACTACGGTTAAAATGTGTTATCGTTAATGATTAGGATATTTTTTAACTGTTTAGACTGTTGACGCTCATTTGGGAGTGAGCATGAAAGAAACTCTAGGCTATGATATGAAAGATATAATGGACACGTGGGTTCTACAGATGGGTTTTCCTGTTGTGACTTTGACGAGAACAGCGACCAATTTAGTTACAGCTGAACAAGAGCATTTCCTACTTGATCCGAACGATGAACCACAAGAAGACCCAGGGTTACCACAGTTAGGGTAATCAAGTCAGGACGTATAAAATCAATACTGTTTAAACAAATATTACCGAATTTGAATATGTCATTTTATTGTGTGATTTTATTTACCCAAATTTTGTTTTTGTTTCTCTGAGCAGATACGTATGGCACATTCCTTTAACCTACACACACGAAGCAGAATTGAACTTTGACATGCCAAAAAGAACATGGCTACATAAAACCGGAGGTATAAAAAAAACGATTTTCAAAATTGTTAGAGCAAATATTTGAAATATGACCACATCTCCTACGATGGTAACTAGCATGGGTTAGATATTTCTCCACTGGGTAAAACAAATACAATGACATAAAAGACATAATTATCTCTGAAATATTTCTTTTCCTCAGGCACGATTGAGATAGAGGGCGCAACTAATGTAAATTGGTATATTGCAAATATCAACCAAACCACGTTCATACGAGTCAATTATGACACCGATAACTGGAGGAAACTGATTATACAGCTGTTGAATGACCACGAAGTGAGTTCGTTAAGATAACATTCAACCAAGTCATTTTTTTAAAAACTATCTAATTTACGTCAGCCAAAGATTTGTTTGTTTGGTTATTTGTTAATTAACAGGATAAAAAGTTATGGATCGATTCTCATTAAATGTCTATGAGGGTTGCTTCAGATACAAGCACGAACCAATTCAATTCTGGTACAGATATGGGTACGGTTACCATGGATACAGCAATTTTGCGAATGAGTATTTATTCATTAACTCAAAGCCCTATAGACGAATTTTCAAGGAATTATCAGGGGTACCATAACCACGGGGACAGTAGATTGGACTTTGGTGCAGACGTGGATGTTGTTACCAATGTTTGAAAATTATTTCTACCTCAAAAGCATAAAGATGGATTATCATGAAATCGTCGAGAGCGGTTGCCCTTCAAACGGACTACTCGATTACATGTTGGTAGAAATGTGGATTTGGTTTCCATGGTAACATCAGGTTCTGGTGTGATTTTTTGTTTGGATTCTCATAAAATTTTCAGGAGTTGCTCATAATACAAACCAACAGATTAGACATGGGCCAAGATTCAGATAGGTTACAATAGAAACAACATTCTGGAATTTATGTCATTTATAACTCATTAAATTAATTAAATTAAATTCTTAGATTCAAGAATGTTGGTTGAGATGTTAACTCGGTTGGCACGAAACAGTAATTTGGAGAATGATTTCTTGTTTATAACTTAAAAAATTATGGATGGGTTCAATTGGAATTTTCACGAGAAATCACCATTTATATGAACCAATTGAAACAAAAATGTAAATTCAGATATGGTTGCCACGGGAACAACAATGTCGGGAATTATTTTATGATTTGATTTTCATAAAATGTTAACGAGAGGTTGTCTTTGGCGTAATGGCCAATCTATTGAATGTTGCTAGCGATGTAGTTTTTGATGCCACGGTATATAAGTATAATTTCAAACGCCGAATACATGTTTCCATGGTTAAGGAATCCAATAATATAGATACAATTAGCATTAATGTTAGATGTAAGTCCCATTACAGGGGGGGGGGCTAATTTCTGAATGTTTTACAGGATTCAAATATCATTACATGTTTTTGTGTATTAAAAACTTTTCAAATACAACGACAGGTTCTTCCAGTTCGCAATCGCGTACACCTCATCGACGATGCCTTTACTCTCGGTGAGGCGCTGTACCTAGATCACGTGATTGCCTTGGAAGCTATGGAATATCTTGACAATGAGATCGAATACAGTCCATGGCAGGCGTTTGTAGCTGACCAGTGGTATACAAAGTACATGATCTGGAGGACGTCTACCTACGGTATGTTCGAGGTAAGTGTTAAGACACAGTCCAACAGTCGAACCGTAGTGTACCATGTTGACAATGTCATTTTCGGAACTGTCGTTATAACATTTATCCTTTGCACCAAATACTTAACCACACAGTGAATTTCTTGCAGAAATATGTCCGTCATTTAGTGACGCCAAACTACAACAGTTTAGGATGGGGTTTCGAAAATTACGCTGAAGAGATTGACTAGTGAGTATGGCTGTTTTTCAACTCGGTATCATATTATTCAACGAGCAGTTGACATGTACAGAGCAGAGGAGTGCGACGTGTTGCTCCGAGGAACAAAAAAAAAACTCACGCACATGCATTTACGTACACAGTATGTGATAATGAACATGTCTTGATATTTCAGCTATCGTATTCTCGACACCACACAGACGGCATGTTCTTATAGTCTAGTCGACTGCATAACTGAGGCATCTACACAGTACCAATATTGGATGGAAAATCCCGATGATAATAAGTGAGTTAGTTTATTGTATCTTGCTAAAATCTTTGAAATAAATGCGATTCCCTAAAATGAATTAAAATAATGATATGCACCAGGACCGTTTCGAATCAGTACATGTATTATCACTGGTATTGCACAGCCACCCGATGTTCCTGGTAAAATAACTAGAGACTATTGGTGAATAGGACATAGAATAAAATACATTTGTATTCCGATTTCACAGAATCGAAGAGAATATGAGAAGTACCGTCTACTGCACATCAATTCGATATGGCGGTGACGCGGAATGGGCATTTGCATACAAGAGACAGATGAATGACACCGAAGAACGAAGTCGTCTCCAATCTGCGTTGGCCTGCAGCAGGCAACCATGGACGCTAAATATGTAAATATAACACATTATACACTAAGGTCTTTAAATGGTCACATGTACGTTATATCACCACGTTGTTACATACGCTCGTTTTGACTTCCAGGTACATGGAGAAAGCAATGGACGATGAATCACTGAGTGTCACCTCTACCATAGGATATGTTCGAGACAACTCTGGTCTAGGCTTTGATTTAGCATGGGATTTCACCATGAAATATTTCGACACCTTGCATGAGAGGTAAAGTAACATGTTATTGTGTAGCAACATTACGCATTGTCATAATGCACACATACATAATTCATAACATAGCGACAGATATAAGGCGTACCATAATCAGGACAATAGCAGACTAATCACGAATAAGTGACGCGCTGATAACCAGATATGATGTCTGAAATGAGAAATGATGTCGCATGGTGACGTATATTTGTTTACATGTTCAGCATTAGCTCACAATCTGATAAAAGGAATGCCTTTTTTCCGCTGAGAGTACATGTATATTTAGAGAATGAAAGACGATGAAGATGCTCGTTATTTATTGTCATAAAAGGCGAGAGATGGCATTTATTTGGTAGCAGATATAGGACTCATTTAAGGGAAAATGTGCATATTTGGTGCAGGTAGTCACCTCGCGTTCTCCTACAGAGGGGTTATATCCTCTACCGAATACCCACTAGCACCGGTTATAGCCACATTATAACATTTTTGCACAAGAAATATGCTACAAACTGGTTGTTTATATATCGTTGCCATGTGTAAATTTCTGATATTTTTGAAAACATATTACCCCGACTTTCACCAGATATAATAATTTCCACGTGGATGTGGGGGGTTTATTTGTGTAAACAGGCATTCTAATACATTTTTCGTATTATTACTTGTACCAGTTTTCCCTGTTTTGATAAGTTGATCATACACCCGCAATCACTATGAGTAGAGCTCAAAGTCGTGTGAACTTGAGCCAGTTAGATATTTAAGCCATTTTATTCAGTTTAGGAGTATAATCACAGGTCTTCTAGCGCCAGATATAAGACCTTGCTTCAGCCAATCAGATCAGGCTAGATTCGGACATAGCATGATACAAATGTATACTGTGTGACAATACAACACAAATCAGCAAAGCTCTCGACTGTTGGATACTAACATCGTTTGTACTTTTTAGTAAATGGGCAGAACGTATGGTAGTAGCTGGACAAAACTCAGATTAACAAAATCAGATACAATATAGCCGATGAGTAGTTATTATAAACACGGTTAACATTGCTGGCTCTGAATGTAAGATTGTCGCCCGTTTGACAACATATCGTTATTGATACGATATCATACTGGCTGTACCTCTGATAGGCATCCAATTGCTGTTTCAGTTGGCAACAAATTAGGGGCGACGGCTTCTTGCCAACCATCCACTGTGCTCGTGAAATGCTAACAGGTGCGACGGCCTATATCACTCTACCAATAGTATAGTCAGTAGTTCAGATTATAGTAATTATACATCTTCACACATTGCTTTTATTCTAGCAATTCAGTTGCAGCCTTTGACCTTGTATGGTCATTTGCAAGTAAAATGAACACAGAGAATGACCTTTTAAAGGTATGTTGGTCATAAACGTATGGACGCACATTTATCAATGTAACTGATATGTATATTGGAGAAATTATTTTCGCAAATTTTACTGACAGAATCATTGTGGACACATTTATCTTTTTTTTTCGATATTGCACACGGATATTACCTGTGCAAATCGAATTAACAGCATATATTAGTAATTGTGCCAGTGCGCCCTCGTAGTCATCATGAACAAACACTATTATGTTTACGACTCAATTTAAGTTTAGATTTAAGATAAATAGTCAAAAGTGTGTCCATCTTTGTCATTATTACGTTGATTGACTTATTGTTACCTCTGCACTGTAACTAACTTGGTAATCATATCTTGATTTCTCAGCTCAATGCATTTGGTGCAAAGTATTACGATATGCCGGGCGAGAGCGCCAACGACTTCTACAGAGCCGTACAGAGAGTGGAGACCAACATTATATGGGCAGATCGAAATATGGTACAAATAAAGTTATTCCTGCAAGCGGCTGTTGAGAAAATCGCGGCAATGGAAGAATAAATCAAAATAAATAAAATTATTGTAGATTTTTATTATCATAGTTATTGAATATTTGCGATAGTTTGATGACCACTAAAACGCACGTATTACATTATGGAGGTGCATCGCATTTACCTATAGACGTATATAATTTTTGTATTTTTTGTATATGTTTGTTAAAGCGAGTAGATGAGTGAAACTCGATTAGGTGCTTAGCATTATGATTACATTTATTCCGGTGGCCGAGTGGAGTGCCGTTAGACGATTTGGTTTCGTGGTCGCCATATGTAAATTATTCAGGATACCCGGTAAACACCCAGATCAACGCACGCACCCTGACCGTCCACATGCCAGTATAGTTCCAATGTATCTTGGGCTCTAGTACCAACAAACGCCCCTCTCCTGATCGCACATATCAGTATCCCCGGTGAGCCGTTAAATAAACATGTACTGAACCTCAAACTAGATAATATCTAATAAATTATGTACAATTGTCAAATGGAACTGTCAAACATCATCAAACAAATCAATCATAGTATGACTGGAATTAAGGAGGGTAAACTCGGTCAGTCATTATTAGGTCACGCGGTATATGGAAAATGCTGCTCTTGTTCTATTGTTATTAATATTGATTGGTATGTATGCACCGCAGTGTACCTTCGTCCATGGAATGCGCCGGACGAGTGATGACAACGTGATGTACTCATGGTGTTGTAAATTACATATTGATAACTTAAAGCGTAAAGGTTCATGGGTAGACGCTTGTTCGTAAACAATGACACGCTATGGCCACCTGACGCATGCGTAGGTGATGACTCCCCCGCTTTAAAGGGGAACTAAATAGAGCCTATTTTGGTGTTTGTATTTATCAAGTTATGTATATTGATTATAAATTTGAAAATAAAAATAAAAAAAATGATTATCTTCAGAGTTATGATGATTTAAATATGAGAAACCATAAACCTGCGAAGGACTTCCGT